CCCCACCATCTGCCACACCATCCACCCCACCTCCATGCACCATCCACCACACCATCCACCCCACCTCCGTGCACCATCCACCCCACCATCCGCCACACCATCCACCCCACCTCCATGCACACCATCTGCCACACCATCCACCCAACTTCTATGCACCATCCACCCTACCATCCACCCCATCATTCACCCAACCTTCACCCCACCTCTACCCCACCATCCACACAACATCTATGCACCATCCACTCCACCATCAGCCCCACCATCCGCACCACCTCTACCCCACCATCCACCCAACATCTATGCACCATCCACCCCATCACCTGCCCCACCATCCATCCCAACTCTGCCCCACCATCCACCCCACCATCCGCTCCACCATCTGCCCCACCATCTATCCCACCATCTGCTCCACCATCCATCCCACCATCTGCCCCACCAATTGCCTCACCATCCACCCGACCTCCACCCCCATCCATTCCACCATCTGCCCCACATCCAATCCACCATTTGCTCCACCATCTACCCACCTCTGCCCCTCAATCCATCCCACCATCCGCCCCACCATCCACCCCACCATTTGCCCTACCATCCACCCAACCTCCACCCACCATCCGCTCCACCATCTGCCCCACCATCCACCCAACCTCAACCCCCCATCCACTCCACCATCTGCCCCACCATCCACCCAACCTCCACCCCACCATCCACCCCACCATCTGCCCCACCATCCACTCCACCATCTACCCTACCATCCACCCAACCTTGACCCCCCATCCACTCCACCATCTGCCCCACCATCCACCCAACCTCCACCCCACCATCCACCCCATCATCCACCCCACCATCCACCCCACCACCTGCCACACCATCCACCCCATCTCCGCCCCAGCAACATCCCCAGCTCCACTCTAGCTCCACAGAGATGTCTTCAGTGGATCATCCAATAGAAGAAACTCTAGCCCTTTCCAAACACAGCTGAGCTCAATGAGGTATGCCATGTGGGCACCCACGTAACACTGGTAGAAAGAGTTTCACCAAGGGTCTAACGGAACAAAGCCCCTCTCCACACACTCACCTCTGCCTAGGAGAGACCACATATGGGGCATGAACCTGTCGCATGACCTGTACTTCCCCCCAAAAGTCAACATGGTGAGTGTTAGATTATTTGACCAGTAACCCAAGCCATACATTTATAGAAGATTAAAGCTGAGATAAGCACTAAAGACCAAGTAGGCAAACAGCTTTACTTTATGGAATATGAAACTCAGGCCCAGAGGAGAAAAACCACCTCCCTGGATCCCATAAACCCAGGCTCTGTGACTTCCTGTTCTCTCTCCCCATGAGCATAGGCGGGAAACATTTATAGGACCTGGAAACCTCTTAGTACTTTTGAGACACAGAAATATTTCTTATTTTCAACTTCTGTGAAGTCTGTCCTGCATGGTTGCTGAGAGTTAATACTGCAGCCCTAGAAACCCAAAATATTGCCCTGGGACCTTCCTCAAAGGACCCAGAGTGGTGCCAACACACTTGTTTCTGCGGTTCTCAGACACACATAAGGGGGCATGCACCCCACTTCACTGCCACCCCTTCTCTTCCTTTACCTCCATCTCATGATCCATCTCATGATCACATCAGAAACTGGGACCTTGCTGTCCACTGTCTGTCACAATTACAGCATCCTCATGTACTCACTCGGTGCCCTGAGCCACCTGGACAGCGGCCCACAGAAGTGCTCCAGGTAACCCGAGCGGGTATGTAGATCAAACAAGCCATCAGGATGCTTCCCAAACCTCTGCCCTCCCAGGGACCTTGGCTTCCAAAAACCACATACCCAGAACCATCAGCAACAGTCTCATGCCCCTGCCCTCCTCCTCACCTGGGTCTGTGCACATCCACCCTCTGCAGCCCAGAGCACCTGCCCTCCTCCTCACCTGGGTCTCTGCACATCCACTCACTGCTGCCCCGTGCACCTGCCCTTCTCCTCACCTGGGTCTCTGCACATCCATCCACTAAAGCCCCATGCACCTGTCCTCCTCACCCGGGTCTCTGCACATCCACCAACTGCAGCCCCATGCACCTGTCCTCCTCACCTGGGTCTCTGCACACCTATCCACTGCAGCCCCATGCATTTGCCCTCCTCACCTGGGTCTCTGCACATCCACCCACTGTAGCCCCCTGCACCTTCTTCCTCTTCACCTGGGTCTCTGCACATCCACACACTGCAGCCCTGTACACCTGCCCTCCTCCTCACCTGGGTTTCTGCACACACACCACTGCAGCCCCATGCACTTGCCCTGCTCCTCACCTGGGTCTCTGCACATTCACCCACTGCAGCCCCATGCACCTGTGCTCTTCCTCACCTGGGTCTCTACACATCCACCACTGCAGCCCCATGCACATGCCCCCCTCACCTGGGTCTCTGCACATTCAACCACTGCAGCCCCGTGCACCTGTGTTCCTCTTCATCTGGGTCTCTGCACACCCACCACTGCAGACCCATGCACCTGCGCTCCTCCTTACCTGGGTCTCTGCACATCCACCCACTGTGGCCCCATGCACCTGCGCTCCTCCTCACCTGGGTCTCTGCACATCCACCCACTGTGGCCCCATGCACCTGCGCTCCTCCTCACCTGGGTCTCTGCACATGCACCCACTGTGGCCCCATAAACCTGCGCTCCTCCTCACCTGGGTCTCTGCACATGCACCCACTGTGGCCCCATAAACCTGCGCTCCTCCTCACCTGGGTCTCTGCACATCCACCCACTGTGGCCCCATGCACCTGCGCTCCTCCTCACCTGGGCCTCCTCACATCCACCCACTGCAGCCTCATGCGCCTGCGCTCCTTCTCACCTGGGTCGCTGCACATCCACCACTGCAGCCCCGTGCACCTTCCTCCCACTCACCTAGTGTCTCCTTATCCCTGGACTTCCTGTCCATCTTTTTCTCTTGGTTTTACAGGGCATGTTCTTTCTCAGCACTAGTTAAATCATCTCATTTTGTCCACTTTCACCACGTCCTGTCACTGGCTACGGGCTGCTCAGGCGGCTCTTCTCTACCTGCAGGGCCCTCCTCACCCGGGCTGTGCCCCTGACCACTGCAGGTGAGGCAGGGTCCCTCCAGGTCCTGAATGCACAGGGCTCCCTTCCCCCAGGCCTCTGCCCACAGGAGGTCATTTCCTTCTAAGTATTGACCGTGCGCTCCTGCCGGCGCCATATGGGGAGTCACAGTGGGCATTTCTGGGATGCAAGTGGGTTGCTCCTCTGTGTGGGATACCTCGTCATGCCCTTCAGATGTCTACTTCTAGAAGCTTCTGGTCCCCAGGCTAGTTGGGGTGCTTCCTCTTTCATGTCCCCTGGTGCCTGACACGCTGCCTGCCCACGCCCTTTTCTGTCTTTTCCCAATAAATGGCAGGTGTGGGCAGGGGCGTGTGTCCCACGGGGATGCTCGGTTCCTAGGGCAAGGCCAGCTGCAGCAGGGGCCCAGTGGGCCGTGGCTGTGGCCAAGCCGGGGAAGGAACGGTGTCTGCAGATGACACTCCTGCTCCCACGTCCACGTGAGTGGACAGCTCAGGCAGGCCTCTGACTCAGCCCTTGGTGTTTCACTCCACGTTTGCTAATCTCCCCTTTGGACCCATCTCCAAACCCAGGCATTCGCCAGGGAGCACCCGGGGCCTCTGCCCTCAGCACCCAGCTCCCGGGTCCCATCAACACATCTCCAAGTGCCACCCACACACACTCCCTTCTCAGTGTCCACACACATTTCGGGATGCAGGAAGGAGGCCACCCTTCCCCTCGTGCGTGCTCATGCGCCAGCCCCCTGCACCCCTGTGCCCGCCACTCTGTAACCCCGGTTTCCAGCGAGACCAGGGACACGCTGTGCCATGGGCAGGTCGGTGGCTGAGGTCCCAAAGCCAGCTCCCACCCGGGGAAAGGGCAGAGTGTGTTCCGACAGCCAGTCACGGGGCTGTGTACACAATAAGTGTCAACTGAGTGTCTATGGTGTGGGCCGTCCAGAGGTTCCCACTCCTTCACAGCAGGGCTGGGCACAGAATGTTCCAGAGCCTCCAGGTGATTCCAGTGCCGCAGGGTGAGAATCTTGGCCTCAGCGACTGTCGTTGTACATTTAGACGCAGGCGCGGCTGCACCGAATAACCCCCAAAGCCCACTGGAGCTCTCCTTTCCTCTGTCCTAAACGCTCCCCTCCGGGCCAGTTGGGACGGCCCCAGGCACCCAGCTCTGCCCCTCAGGAACCATCTGGGCGCGAACACGGCTGAGGCACTTACCCGGTGTAGGTTAAGGTGCCGGTGGGCAGGCTCAGCAGGCGGGCGAGGTCCTCTGTCAGCTGCCTCCCCTCCTCCGGGCTCAGGGGGCTGTGGGGGAACGGCAGGGGCGGGAGCCACGTTACCAACAGAACATCAGTCCCGAGAGCTAACAGCCCCCCGGACGCCTCCGGACACCCCCTGCCCAAGATGCACACATGAGCACACGCATGCACACGGACACTCACACGGGGTGCGGCTGCTTCCTGGCCCTGATGAATCACCTGAGTTTCCAGCAATAAGAGAACAACAAGGTGCAAATGGAGCTGCCGGGCAGAGTGAGGGCCCTGGCAGCCGGATGCTCATCTCGGCCTCGGGTGGAAGTAGGAGGAGGTGGGGGAGGCACAGGGAGGAGGGGACAGGTGCACGCCGGCTCTGCCAGGGGCTGTCAAATCACAGAGGAAACACCCATTCTGAATGGCTCCATTTCAGAGTGAGCTGCACCCGTGGAGGACACGTGAACACTGAGCACACGGCACACGGGGAGCAATGTTGATGCCCGCCAGGGCACCTCTGTAAACAAGGCAGGAGAACCCGGCCTGGCTCCGTGGCCGCCAACGCCCCCTGAGGCCCCCTGGCCTGCGGCTCTTCCATCGAGAATTAGCGATTGGTGCCCAGGCGTAATCTGGAGCTCCAAGTGCAAGTCTTGAATTCCAGAATTCAGCTGTGCAAACCCCGAGTTGTCTGTGAAATCCTGTTAGGGCCACTTCAGAGAACACAGAATACCAGTGCTATACACAGGCCACGTCGCACGGCCGAGGCTTCTGACCCAGCGCAGCACACGCATTCACCCCTGCTCTCGGGGGTCCTCCAGGGAGCAGGAGGCCCAGGCCCTGCCTTCGCGGGCACACTCCGGTGGGGGAGACAGATGCCAACATACGGAAATGGACCAGGTCAGCGTGAGAATCAACGGATCCTGACATGGCCCTGCGCCGCTCAGGCCTTCCCCTTGTCTGTGGGCCTCACCTGCGGCCTCCGACTCCTGAGCAGGTCCACAGAGACCACGTGGCGATTCCCGCCTGGGGAGCCTCCTCCCACGCCCCAGACCCACTGGCTCCAAGCCCTGCGGGGCAAGCCCAGCTGACGCACGGCCTACGGGAGGCAGTGCCCACACGCTCAGTCTGGGCTGCTGCTCCGCAGAGACAGAACTCAGATGCAGGTCTGCAGCGCGCCGAGAGCCAGGAAGTGGGGCAGCCACGCACAGAGGAACCCCCCCACACACACACACACAAACTGTGAGCGCAGCCCAGCGAGCACATGTTCGTCTGTAACATCACACAGGGATGAGGGAACTCCCAGACCGCGGCCACGCTTCGCAACTCGCAGGAAAACATATGGTGCACGAGAGTCATTTCGCAGAGCTGGCAAGCACAGGGCTGGAATTCCAGAAAGTGGGATAGCCTGGATGCCAGATCCTGGAGAAGATCAGAGCTAATTTTCCATTCTCCTCTCAGGAGTGGAGCTGGGTCATGCACACACACCTGTAGGTAAACAGAGGACTCCCAGGTGCACACACACCTGCAGGTGAACAGGGAGCAGAGGACTCCCCAGGTGTGCACACACCTGCAGGTGAGCAGGGACTCTCCAGGTGTGCACATGCCTACAGGTGAGCAAAGGACTCCCCAGGTGCACACATACCTGCAGGAGAGCAGAGGTCTCCTCAGGTGTGCGCACACCTGCAGGTGGGCAGGGACTCCCCAGGTGTGCACACACCTACAGATGAATGCAAGACTCCTCAGGTGCACACACACCTGCAGGTAGGCAGGGACTCCACAGGTGTACACACACCTTCATGCACACTAAGAGGGAGTTGCCATGGGCATGTCCCCACAAGAGACAATGGAGCACACTCACAGGTGTGTCTCTGCTGTTGTGTGCACCAGGGGTGGGGCCTTATCCAGCAGGAGGCATGGCCGTGACCCCGTCCTGGGACCTACACGCCGTCCCCCACCACCCCTGGCCTCCAGTCTGCCCTCCTGCCCTCCGCGCCTCCTGCTGTTTTCATCCCCAGCCCCTGCGCCTACAGAGCCTGAGCCTCCTCCCTAAACCTGCCGCCCAGGGAAGACCCGCTAATCACCACCACCTGCGCCTGGCAGGTGACGCTCGCCCGCCCAGCGTATTGGGGCACAGGCTCTGCGTCCCCATGCAGGCCACCACGCAAGGTGCACACTGGGTCCCTGTCCTCTCCTGCAGCTGCGGGCTGCGACCGCCCCGGCAGGCGGCAAGCACACCACAACAGCCCCCCTTCCACAAGGCGGCAAATAGCGCAGTGCCGACTGCACGGAAACGAGCGCGCGGCCATTCCTACTTCACCGTTAGGACACGTGGTCGTCACGCGTCATTTCACGGCTGGAGCTCCCTGGGAAAGCGGTTAGAGTTGACCACAAAAATCAGTAGCAGGACGTGGCAGTACGGTTCCACGTGTCCACGTGTGGCCACTGCCACCCGAGTCCCTGGACACCCAATGCCGCCGTGGCAGAGGAGTGGGCGGGTGGGAGCCACACCTGTGCGGCAGCAGAGGGTTTCCCGGGCTGACGGTGGCGTCTCCGTGCCGCAGCGCGTGCCGGTCCTGTGTGCAGCCGTGTGCTTTGGAACCCTCTAACATGCCGTTCAACCACGGAACCTGCCGCCCCGAGCGGTCTGCCAGGTCAGCACAGCAGGGAGACCTGCAGCCACGCAATCTCTCCCCGGGCGGGAGGCTGTGTGAGCAGAGACCGTGTCGTCCTCTCCAGGAATCCTCCCCATGCCGGCAGCACCACGGGCTCCCACACGGCACCAAATCCCCCTGGGTGAGTGCGCGGAGGGACAACTGAGTGGAAAGTCACACGGGAGGGGACTACGGGCTGTGGGTGCTGCCCTGAAAACTCAGACCAGTGAGGACGACCCGAGGGCCAGAAACACCACAAGGAGCCAGAACTCCGGGAAGGCCCCTGCGTGGGCACCACGCGGAGACCCCACGCACCTGCCAGAACCGGGGCTCGCAACAGACCCGGGAGGAGGGTGCTACGATCGCCTCGTTCTCGAGTGGAAACTGAGGCTAGAGAAATTAAATTCACTGCCTGTGATCACACCGCTACCAAATCCCCAAGAGAAAAGCCTGGCGGAGAAGGTCCGTGCCGAGCCAGGGCTGCAGCACACGAGTCCCGAAAGGCGGGCCGGGCGGGGAGCCATGGCGTCCGTCGCGTGTCTGAACCCCACAGAGCCGAGGAGCGGCGATGGCGTGGCTTCTCCCCGTCTGGTTCCCGCCACGTCGTCCTCCTTGTAGGCCAGGCGCCACCAGGAGTAGGACCCAGCCGCGGTGACGCTCCTGCCCCCCAGACCGCGGTCAGCCGCAACGGTGTCGCCCGCCTCATTTCGGACGTTTCAGCGTTCACTCGAAAATTCGCCAGCAGTCAAAGAATCAGATGGGGGACGATAGAAGGAAACCGAGTCGATTCCGATATGCGCTCTTCTGATGAGGCCGAACTTGAATCCAGTGATAAAGTGAGGTTCTCTTGGGACTCCTGGATTATTCTGTCATAGTCATGCCGTCGTTAGCACCAGCAGCGAGTCACCTCATAAGTCAGCTGAGACCCTGGCGACCCTCCGGAACCCTCCCCAGGGCAGAGAGCAACACCTGGGACGGCGCACGACCGCGGCTGAGGCTGACGGTCAGTGCCGCGCCTGTTTCCGCCCGCGGCTCCGTCCCGCTGCCTGTTCCCGCGGGGTCCGAGGTCCTCCCCAGCAGGAGAGAGCGGCCCGTGACGGCCTGTGCCCCCACACAGGGCTCCGCTGGCCCCGAGCGTCCCACGTGACCTGGGACACGCACACGTCCCTTCATCTGTGGTTGCTAGCGTCCTGGATCACTCTCATTACGACAGAAAATGATTGGCAACCGCCAACCCTGCACAGGTAGAAAACCAACAGGCGAAAAACTATCGTATTCTGACAACTTACTGGTTGTTTTTTTTTTTTTTTTTTTGAGACAGAGTCTTACTTTGTTGCCCAGGCTAGAGTGAGTGCCGTGAAGTCAGCCTAGCTCACAGCAACCTCAAACTCCTGGGCTCAAAGCAATTCTTCTGCCTCAACCTCCCGAGTAGCTGGGACTACAGGCACGCACCACCATGCCCGGCTAATTTTTTCTATATATATTAGTTGCCCAATTAATTTCTTTCTATTTATAGTAGAGACAGGGTCTCGCTCACGCTGGTTTCGAACTCCTGACCTCGAGCAATCCGCCCGCCTTGGCCTCCCAGAGTGCTGGGATCACAGGCGTGAGCCACCGCGCCCGGCTGCAACTTACTGTTAACATCACGATGAGACTATCCGTCTCACTATGTTCACTTCTCCAGCTAAAAAAAAAAAACTGCCAACAGTTCAATAAGATCTGAGCACGCGACGCCTACCGCGTCACATCGATGAAAGCGCACTGAGTGGCTGGCGAAGCCACCTCCGTGGGGCAGCCTCTGGGCCGAGGGGTCACTAGTTCCCTGCCTCAAGCTGCGCCTGCGCCCCGTGGCTCCTTCCCAGAGATGAACGTGACACAACGTTGGAGCCGGCCGTGGAGGAGGGGACGCTGCCTTGCCCTTTGTCCCGTCTTGGACGACCCGCCTCCTCTGCGGAGGGTAGGAACGTTGACGGCCGAGGATCAGCCCTGTCAGGAAGCACACGCGGGGCGCGGTGCCGTGTCGGTGGCGGAGAGCACCGGGTTGGAGGCTGCTGTCCTCTGCCGCAGACAACCAGGCCCACGCGGGTCCCTGCCGGCTCCTGACATCGACAGCTGACCGCGGACGGCCAACCTGGGATCCGGTGGAAACCTGCCCCGGAGCACCCCACATTGCTAACCGGTCCGACGCCTGGGGCAGCCCTCCCTCCCCTGCGGCCGGGAAGGCGAGACCGACACGAGTTCCTGCGCTGACGGGAGACTCACCGACTCGGCCGTGTGACCTGCACCAGAACCTTCCTCACGACCGAGCTGACGGGGGTCAGAGGGACGTCGGCCAAGACGACGCGACGGCTCTGTCTTGGACCCACTGCGTGCAGCAGCTGTGCCGGTCTCCACGCTTCGAGGA